TCTTAGGAAGTGTGACGGTTTAATTAGTGAGAAGAAGTGTCTAAATTTCTTCCTTTTCTCTTAAAGAATAGAGATGAGGGCAGCTGTGTCACTACATGCACATCACACTGTGCCTTTATTCCCCGAATTTGCTTCGTCTGTGTTAGAAAGCTCTGTCAAAAGAAAGGCAGCCAGCACAGTGTTAGTGGCAATATTTGTTTGGCACACAATGTTCACTGTTGTCTATTTGTGTTGATGTTTTTCTTCTCACTCAGCCGTGGGAAGGTGTCTCCACGTTTGCTGCACTTCTGTCCCACACTGAGATTTTGTTGTGTTCAGCGCTGTAAACAGCTCTTTCTGCACCCTTTTCTCAAAGAACAGTGGCATTTCTGAGCCACATTTGCAATAGCTCCATCTTTTTCATCCCAGCAGCTACTCCTTTTCACACCATTTTCAGACTCTGTTGCAAGCATAGATATAGCGCTATTCAGCAATTGCTCATCTGTCCAATTTAAAGAATGCTACATACCAAATGTACCTGATTAAAAAATCCAGTTAAACACCACTAGCAGAATGCCTTTTCTAATTCTTCATCCACTTCAACATGTGTGACCCATAACTGTACACTACGGCTGCAACCTTGCCTTCTGCAGGCACATCCTAAAAATCCGTTGGCGGAAGAAGGAGTTGTAGGTGCCTGTGAACTCACCTGAAATGCATTTTGTTTTAAGATGAATAAGGCGTTATTCATAACAAGTTTTGACTAGAGCGGCTGACGCAGCAGCTTTGGAAGAGTAGCTGAAGACACAGGATGGAGTTATCCTTAAACACTTCATAGTAACTTCAAGACTGGAAGAAGGACGCAAAGTACTATGACCCAGATTTTGAATCTGAAGTACCAATGCAATAAAGACTGCTTGGTAACATAGGTGTAATGAAGAGAAGGCACAGCAAGGGGAATTAAAGCGATTTGATCATAATTCACAATCACCCGCACGAGGAAGAGATTTCTGATAGCAGAAGCTCTTTTATCCGGTAGAAAAAAGATCATCAAGACATGCAGTCACTGGAAGCTGAAGCTAGGTAAACATGGGCTGTAAGTAAGAGGCGTTTTATTTTATTTATTTTATTGCATTGTAACAGATGATTAATCACTAGCAGAGTTTACACAGGGACATTGTGGATTGTTTGGTGAGTCTGTCCTGGCAGTGACTCATATCATGGTCCTTTCCTCTTGACACAATTTTCCACATCTAGGCTCCTGCCTTCAGTGCACTCTGATATGTAAACAATAACTCAACGTTTATCCAGTAACTCTGCTGCACATTTATGAATTTTAATCAACCATTGACACACTTACATGAAGTGAAACAAATGAGCAGAGTTGACAAATGAGATTTTTGCTTAGAAAGGATTTTAGATGCATATTAATATTCAGTTCCTCTCTAGGACTCTTGACATCAACTGTGTTTCGGCACTTCTATGGCCGTCTTGAGCCTACATGATTATTTTCTATAGCCCAAACAGGGAGCCCATTGTGCTAAGCATATAATAAAAAGACAGCTGCTGTTTCTGAGAGCTCACAATCTAAGGCAGAGAGAACAAACGGCTGGTAGATGAGGATAAAGTAAGTTTGAACTACATTCAGCAAGGTAAGAAGCTCTGTTGATATACCAGTTAACTAGCTGTTGGAGCCACACAATTAGAATCTGTTCCAAAGTTGCGGCAGATTTCTGTATATAACGCAGTCCTCACAATTTGGATCAGACTTTTTTAAAAGCTGTGTCTGGTTTGTCGGCTAATGCAATTTTCCCTCTTTTCCCTCTGCCGCCCTGAATCACTCCCTGACCAAGCTCCCCTCAGGTAAAGGTCTTTGTGCCTTTGATTATTTTATGGCATTTGCTGCAGCCCAGTTTTCATCAGAGGTCTTTCCCAGCAGACTAACAGCCCCATGAATGAAATCAGCAGGGAGGCTCTTCATTATCGCAATTCTAGCAGCGAAGTCTCTGTACTTTTATCACTGTACTGGTATCAATTATTCGGAGCCACATTAAATAAATGAAGTCAGTAACATGAATATGTCGTGCCCAATTCATACAGAGGCCCATGAACCCTTTTTAAAAAAAACCCTCTCTTTTATGCCTGCTGCTTCCCTTATGAATTTTTTGTAAGCTCTGACCTTAGACATTTCTCAATCATTGCAAGCATGCTTAGTTCAAGATTGAATACACATCCATTTTATATGGGTTGAGAGGGGCAAAAATCATGAGAAAAGCAGATGGCATTAGAAAAAAATGACTTTTCAAAGAAGGTTCAATGACCTCCATATAGATATGACATGTTAAAGTCACTGACTTCTTTTTAACTCAGCACTTGCGTATATATATTTAGTATTGTATAATGTACTTGTAAGGGCAAAGCCTCTTCAGCATTTGATCTACAATATTTATTGTAGAGTTCTGACTCACCTTCTTTGGGTGTAGCCCAGAGTCACCATAATACCAGTAATGACAATGAAATGGGACTGAATTGGCCAGTGCCCTTTGGTTGTTCGATGGGTCACAGCAGCATACTGACCACAGTTTTCTGCAACTTAAAGACAGTCTTATTTATGTATTGAATCTGCTGAATCGGAATTAGGCTTGGCAAAGCCTGTTCTCCAAAAAAAAAGGAATTAAGAACTCTCTGGGATTTGGAGAGTATTTTTCTAAAACATTTCTAACTAAAATTAATGTATTTTGGGCTTAAGTAATAAAAAAATGTAAACCTCTGAAGCATAGACTGTTAACTTCAGAAACCCTAAAGCCAGTTCATTTTGCTTGTAATTTAACTGACCTGTTTAAACAGAGTAGGAAAAACACAGAACTGTGACGGGAAAGGAAATTTCTTGGACATTGCTTTGCACATATTCAGAATAAAAAAATCCCTAGAACCTTTGAGTTTACTGAGAGTAGAATTACACATAGATGGAAGGAGTAATGGGTAAAAGCTTTGTGGGAGTGTTTGCAAACTCTGAAACTCCAATTCAGCAACATTCGAACATGTTTCAGCCTCTTTTCCGCTAACATTAATCAGAGTGGCTTTTGTTTGAAGGAATGTTGGAGAAAGGGTATTCTAAACTCAAATACTCTTGCAAACACACTTCATTCAAACCTGCCTGAGAAGTGTTTTCTCTGCTTATAAATCAGACAGTCAACCTGGCAGACGAAAGAATGGCATGTTTCTCAGGTGGCCAATTACACACCCAAAATAAGGAAGAGTGAATAGATAGAAAACATAATTAAAATAAATACTGCTTGTAAATAAGCCCGGTCAGAATACAGTCTGATGAAATGATTATGCAGCCTGTGCCCCATGTTACGATTTACATAGATGCTTAGTTCTTATGCACCCTACTTCTGCTGAAATTTACAGGGAAAAATCCTGTCCTATTACAGACAGAGACAAAAGAATTGACCTCGGGATTTTGGAGAGAGTGCATCAATTTAGATCTATGGTTTCACTAGGACTATTAGTGGTGTGCAAATCTGAGCAGGTGTTTGCACCTTTGCAAAACTAAAGCTGACCTCATAAGAAAAACAACAAAACCCCACAGTTTTTGGAAAGTTATCAGAAAAAAAGGAGTGTGGGAGGTGCAGTTCAGATTAGAAATGTGCAGCCAATGACAAGTAAAAACAAAATTAGTTCTTTCTTGTAACCCTCGAGTTTGGGTGTTTTCTTGTTTTATTTCTAACCCATTTCTTAAACATAAAGTGGACTGGGAAACTGATTATTCAGGTATCACCTCTGAAAAAAAACTTGACTGCCAAGTCAGCAACAGGAATAATTTGGAAGTTAGTATCACCTGAGAATTTCCAAACAGACCATACCAGATGTCAGTGTTCTTTGTTCAGGAAGCAGAACTGAAGCACAGAGAGGGTCTTTATCTCAGTCGTATGTTAGTCGTATCAGTATATGATAACCAACTGGAAGAGTTCAAAATAAGAGGCAACAATCCTGTATTCCAGTTTACCATTCTTCTATCTCTGGATCGCACTCTTTCTGTTTTCTGTAATGTAATGTAAATATACAATACTTTCACAATGGGCGTTTCATCATGAGTTAAGCCACTTTTGATAGCATTCATCCTGCAAAGTTGCCCAACCACAATGGAGATATCAGTGCAAGGCTTTTTGGGTTTTTTTTTGACAGTCTCTTTGCATGTGTCGTCCAGTAAGATAAGTGTGGGAGATGTAGCAGTCCTTCATCTAATGTGCATTCCTGGCATCATCACGTTATTTCATGAAGTAAGACTGTCAGGTTTATACCCACAATGACAAGAGAAAATGGTATTGTGCTGCTGTTCGGGGGAGAAAGCAAAAGACAGATGAGTCAAGTACGCAGCTCACTCATCAGAAATTGCAGGTGTCTCTCAGTTTGGATATATTTCCACATATTCCTAAACTGTTCATTATCATTTTACTGTATGATTGCCCTGCAAGTGCTTGTCATCACTGTAGGGGCAACCCTGAAATCAACCTTTCTGAAATCCATGAATTAAAACAAACAATCAGATAAATGCAGTGCTATGTATTAAACATGAAATGACACATCTGACTGTCGGTAAAGGCAAAAAGAATTTCCAAAAGACCTTACTGCAATGCAGACTGCCACCTCCATTTGTTTCTGATTGCTATCACACTGCACAGATGCAATGATTGAGAATGAAACTTGAATTTGGTGCTAGAAGTCCACTGTTACATCAATCACTTGAAATAAAAATGTCATACTTATGATTCTTTGGAAAATGCTGCACTTAACTTCCAAACTGTTGCTTTCAGAAAAGGCTAATTCAGGGTTGGGTACATTAATGTCAATGTCCTATAAAAGTGCCAGCTAAAAAATAATGTCAGCAAAGACATTTTTTAAGCCTGTGTCAGCACAAAAGGGTGCCTCAGTTGTTTCATCTCACAACAGCTGCATGCTTTCATTGACATTTGTTGCCCTTTCTTTGTGCACTCATCCTAACCTCATAGGTTATTTCCTGGCCTCCCTTCCATGACCTATGACCGATGATGACCTTTAGCTAGAGAATGTGACATTTTGTTCTCCTCTGGCTGACATGTGATGCCCTCATTATTCAAAGGTATGTGAAAATAATGACCTGTACTGACCTCTCAGTTTCCTTTCGTTTATTGGTCTACACTAGGTGCTTGTTCAGCAGATTGCTATGACTAGGTGGTGGGGTGTACAATTTCTTTTGAAGAAGGAAGCTCATGAATTGCACCAACATTTTAGCTCTTTGTGTCTGTTGCTCCATTTCAGGAGCGGGAGATGAGGTGGTGCAGCTGGGGGAAGAGGGTTCAGGGTTCACGGTTCAGTTCGGTTCGGGTGCTGGGAGCATCTTTGTAAGGCTGCAGGTATGGACAAAGACTTGTGGTCTTATGGAGTGGCAGTGGAGTCCCAGGCTGGATACCTACCTTAGGGCGTCTCAAATGGATGCCAGTGCATGAGCTACTGATTCAAGTCCTCAGTTCTCAGTCATCTGAAAGAATGGATGACTAAGTAACCTTAGAAATTCCAAACAGGAGTGACTGTAGCTTTCCCATCACCAAGATTTCTAAACCTTCTCCGTTGTGACCACAATGGCAACAGTCACAGTTACAAGAAATACAATATTAGTCTAACATGCTAACAGTGCTTTCTTGGCTAAGTCACTTTTTGCATTTCAAATGGTGGAAGTTTCAGTGTTCTTCAGAAATGCAAGCCTGAACACATGAAATTTTTTTCAAGAAGTAGATTTTATCTCCTGCGAGGTGAGACGTGCCCTCAATGACTATAGTAAATATTTCAAATGCTGAAAGTCTAAAGGAGGAACAAACCACTTCTGTGTGGGAGATTGTGATACCAATTAAGAGTTTATTCAAGGCCTAGCCAGCATGAATATTTAAACCTCCTTTCCTTGAAAAAAGGATGGTTACTTCAGGTCAGGGATGAGGGCATGTATGGAGCAGCATAAGGAACAGATGGCTGTTAAAGACAATTTTTGACTATAAATAGTCCCTATTAAGAATATAGAAATAATCAATTAGGGACTAAGCTCTGCTTCCTGTTGCACAGGAGCAGAGCAGCAGAAGAAAACGTTAACACATATGTCAGTGTGTGTTTCTGGCTGGGAAAGAGATAGCAGGCCCTTTCCCACTGAAAGGTGGGAAGCTGCACTGGGTCTGAAGGTTAAGATGGAAGACTGTCAACAGCTCTTTAGAAAAGGTTTTAGGTACTTGGTATGCAGACCAGGCAATGTATTGAAAATCAGGATTAAGATTTTGACCTTGTCTCAGCACTCTGTGCAAACTAATGCAGAAACTAGGGGAAAAGTCCTAGTAACAGCCTTCGTTGTTAAAGAGAGAGCATTCCCCACCACCTGGAGTCTGTAAAGAACTTTGTGTTGGAACATGTCTGCTAAAGGTGTAAAAGGTATTAATAACTGACGCCCAGACATCAACTTGCAAACTTTGAGGTTTGACCTGGACACCTGGGCCTTCAGGCCAGACATCCATCCTCAGTTGTAACCCAGCTGAAAAAAACATTACATATTCAGGCTGACACTTACGGGACTGCAGTGCGGTGGAAAGGGGACTTTAGGTTTAGATTAGAGATATAAAATCTAGCCTGGCTTTGGGTTGAAATAGAAGAGTTAGTATAATCTGATGAAGAAAACTATTTTACCTATCTTGGTAGAAAATGCTACCTATAGATACTTCTACATAAGCGGCCTAACTATGGATATGACTTAGCAGTCGTGGGTATATGTCTTCACCTAAAAGAAAATTTTTGAGAGTACTGTCCTCTGTCTACCGATATCATCTTTGTCCTGCTTGCACTCAGCTTTGCTGCATCAGTCCCAGCAGCAGGTCTGGGCAGAAGGCTGAAACCCAAGAATGGCAGAAAGAAATGGCATCTATGATACATTACATCTATTCTGTTGCTCATTTCACAAATGCCCCTGGTATTGCATTATAGCTACTGATGGATTAATTGAAGGAAAAATAAGAGTATATAAGTGGGTCCTAGCTGGTGCCAGGCAATCCTCCTGTCCCTGACCTGACAGTGCTCCAAACCCTGTCACTGAACAGGGCTGTTAAATGAATTCTGCCGTTCCCCTTTGGCTGACAGCAATTTTCATATAACTCGCACATGGAATGCTTTTAAAAGGATTCAGCTAAGGAATAGATACACTTTTACGTATGACTCAAGCCCAGATCAGATGTCAGATTGCTTATGACCAATCATATAAATGAACTAACCCACCACGGCAACATAACTCCGGAAGGTCTTGCAGAAACCTTGTGGAAATATATTTATCAAGTGCCCAAAAGATTGTGACACATGAAATCATGAGTTGCTTTTGACTGCTTTGGCCAAGAAAGACAACTTGTTTGTATGGCAAGAACATGCGTTTAAGAGGATAGCACTAAGGTAAATTTTTAAACCAAGAGCATGTTTAGACTTTATTGTCTTTGTTTTTCCCCAGAAGCACAGTCTCAGAAATATTCTGTTTTTCTCCCCCTCTGTCTCATTTGCCTCTCATTGTTCAGGAGCTCATAGGGTTTCACTCCTCCCAAGATCCATAAATCAGATGATTAACTTTCAGTCCAAGACTGTTTTATATGAGCAGAAGAAATCTAATTGGAATACAATCACCCTCCTACTGCTTTTCACAGCTTTCTTTGCATCTCAATGTGATCTGAATTTCAGATATCTCTTTCTGTGAGATATTTATTTTTCCCCATCATGCACTGGACCCAATTGTGCTGCTATCTTTTTCTACCCTTTTAAGCTCTGGCTGTAAATTAACCATTATCCAACTGAAATAAGTTCCTTTAGAGTTCATAAACTGTATTTCAGCGTGATAGCTTCCAGACTAGTTGCACAGGAACAAACTGCCTAATCCCCTGAATATCAGGGGTTAATATCAGTTTCATTTTCCCCTCTCTCAGCATGGGTGCTTAGGGGAGAAGCTCTCTTGTAAGATGGGGTACTGGATGAACTGAAAGAAGAAGGAGTCTGGAAATGCAGAACTCCATTTGCAGGTGCTGGATGAACTCCAGGTTGGGGAATCTTTGCATTACGCTTATGGTTACTTGTTTTGATTTATGCTGATAGAGATTTAGTACAACTGAAAAATCCTGCTGATTATGGACCAATTATTGCCCCGGGATTTACTGGCTTATATTACTCTTTAAGAAAAGAAAGTCAAAACCTTTTCTTATTAACTTAGCATTTAAGGAAACTGGCTGCCCAAGAGTCCTGAATACTAAGATGCTTCCTTTAACCATGCAACCCACAAGCAGCACAAACTTTTCTTTAGTTTCTCCCCTCCTGCACTCCAAGCCTTCCCCAGACCAAACAGGGCATGTCTATGGGAGAAGTTAATACTCATGACTCATGAAATACCCGCATCTCTTCTCAGACGCTGTTGCTGCAGTGATTTGTTTGTGTATGTATGTGCTACAGATATTAGCCTACCTGAGAAAAAATAAACTTTAAATCTAACCAGTTTTACATATTCAGATATCAAATGAAAACAACTTAATTGTTACCACATGACCATGAATGGAGACTGAACACAACAGGCATGATTCCTACGACCCTATGAAACCTGCAAGATGATGCATCTTTCTGTCCACATCCCCAAGCCATTTACACCGAGGACCTGTCAGAGAGTATTGCAGCTTCCGCCTTCCCCTCTCCTCTTCCAACAGACACCAGGGTGCCGTTCAGACCAAGGCAGAAAGGTGAATGCCTGGTTTTCATCCTGATGTAGAGTCCAGACACAGCAAGATTTCTTTACTGAAAGAGTGGTTAAACATTGGAAGAGGCTGCCCAGGGAAGTGGTTGAGTCACCATCCCTGGAAGTATTTAAAAGATGTGTAGATGCGGCGCTTGGGACATGGTTTAGTGGACATGGTGGTGTTGGGTCAACGGTTGGACTTGATGATCTTAGAGGTCTTTTCCAACCTTAATGATTCTGTGATTCTATGATTCTAAGATACCAGCTCCACGTCCCACAGTTTAGACAGAGCCTATCAATCCATTAAGCAACTGAGTGTCATTTAAATAACTACATACCAAGCCCAGCTTTGCTTCTAATATTTTCAGCAGTCCCACCTGCCTCAACAGAGCTACTTGTACAAATATCTTGGGGAATCTGACCTGCCAAGTGTTAGAACAAAACCTTGCAACCAGTTACTTCTGAGTTTGAAGTGTAACATGGACATTGAATTGGATTTCCAATCTAAAGTAAAATTAATGATTAAAATGATTAAGCCATAAAATAAATATATCTCAATTCACAGCTGGTTGTGAATCAGTGACAGGCCAATTAATCAAAAAGAAATAGACATTCTCATTTTCTGGGCCTTCACGTGCATTGTTTTACAGTGGTGGAAATTTTACAGTGGTGGAACTTTTCTCGCTTAGTTTTTCAGCAGTCTGAGGGAAAGGAGGATCTGACTTAGTGTAGCAATTCCACTGACATGATATCACACTTTTTTGGTGCCCGTTTTTGTTCAAAACAGCTTTTTGTCTCTGAATTTTTGGGTAGTTATTTTCCAATATAGCGGAGAATATACAGTGGGGACTAAGATGGTATTTATCTCACCTTACTTTAGGTATCTCTAGTGTAAATGTTTAAATCTGAACCAATCACTAAAGGCTCCCCTTATAATTTTCTTTCATGGGAAATTCATCTGGCCAAACGAAGACTCATGTTTTTCCCACTGCTAAGTGGAGCCAAAGTTGATTAATTCGGAGGTAGATATCTACATTTAATCAGACTAATCCCATCCATGGGTCTGTCTTCAAATCTTTCTTCCCTGCTGACCATAATAGTGCCACGTGACAACGTCCACACTGCTGCTCCACTAGCTGTACTGGAAGAGACTTTTAGTTCAATATTCTCTTGGTTCTTAGTAACTCATTAAATGGGGTTGTCATGGGGATACAGTCTCAGGGTGGCCTCGCTTTCTTTCTCTCATCCACTAATACACAGTGTGCACTGTATAATACTTTATGCAAATAAGTTCCAAGCAGAGTTGCTTTTCATTAGCACAGACAACTCTAGAGGCAAAACCAAACAGAATTTGTCAGTAAGAACTCTGTCATTAAGGAATTTTGTTTGCACCCCTGCAGTGATTCATAGTGCACTCGACTGTTTTCTGCCTACATCTTCCTATCTTTTTTTTGTTCACAAAGTGTAAAAATGTCATTTTCAGTACCTTGTCTCCAATTACAGGTTTTATTGATATCATACCAGAAAGCTGGTTTCAGCTCCTGGCAAACTGGCAGCACAAGAGAAGGATTTCCTGGATGTCATCTTCATTCAAACACTGATAAAGTGCAGCCAAAGCAGGGAAGACAAACAAAACATTTACAGCATTGCTGGAGAAGGAAGGAACTAGACAAGAAACCACAGCCTGGTTGTAATGAAGAAGTGAAACTGGACAACTTTCAGCACTTATGCTTTGTTTTTACAGTGAAAGCATACATACACACATATAACCTGACTTCGCTGAGCATGTCCTGCTTGAACCTGAGGGTAAGTTTATACGATGCAGTATGTAGAGATACCTGAGTTACTGTGGACACCGCATGCTTCTTAGCTGAGCATTATCCCAGAAACATCAGGAGAGCATGCTGATTCACATGTACTTCCCTGGTATCTGAACTAGCCTGGATATCTCTATACTAAACTGCTGCATACCACTGCACACACTGTGACTGTCTCAGGTCCCACTATCTTTGCTGGAACTGAGGTCTGCTTAATAATTCACTGGTTCAAGCACTGACCACCCAGCCAATGTCAACTTAAACAAAGCCACCGGTAAAGCTCCCACGAGGCCCAGGCCCTGTCACATCTGCTGCCTGAAATGGACAAATTTTTAAACTGTGAGCAGCACAAAATCTTTGGTTTAATTTCAACTACTGAAGGAAAGAAAATAACCTGTCATCCATGAAAAATTCAAACACAGCTTTAAAAACATTAGCCACGCAGAAATACTTGTCTTATATAAAGTGTTCCTCAGGAAACAGTGGGAGATCTGTCTGAAATTAGCAAGAATTACAAAACCTCCCACTCTGAAGGTGAAAGGAGAAGCAAGGTTGTAATTACATAAATGACTATGGGGGAAACAGTTGCTCTGTATAGAGTGTGGGATCTAAGCAGTGTTGAACGCTACTTGGAGACAGCTTTCCTGAAGCCAGGGATTTGTTCTTTTTTTTTTTCTTTTTGCCTCTTAAAGCTCCAGTCACTTCCCTGGGAAGATTTCCACCAGGGGGTACACCCCACCTGTACTCTCAAAGCAAGGGATTCAGATGCTCTCTAGACTTAACCTGACTTGGTGGCATCACTCTTTCACTCTCTTTTTACATCCTCACTCTCTTTCACCCTCACTTCATTGGTGTGATTCTTAGTATGGACCTATAGCACCTGCAGAAGAACTGGACTACAGGGCTTATGTATTTTTAGGCTCCACAACTGTATTTACCCAAGGTAAACTAGGATTATAGTCCATTCTTCTGGGACATGTGGCAACAGAAACAAACAGAAATATGACCTTTGAAGGGTTCTAAGCTCCAATTGTATCTTACATCAGTTTGCCTTAATTGACTCAAGAAACACAGAAACACATAAAAATATGGCACTTGCGCACATTATCGATTAAATCTCCTGACCCTCCTGAAGTAATCCTTGAATCTGAATCAACAGCAAGTTAAGGTCTCTTTCTTACACTCGGCTTCCCCTACAGATCAAGCAGTGTCTGTTCCCTTCTCTTTTTCTTCTACCCTCTCTGCTTTTACAACTTGCTTCCATTTTCTCAGCAGTCCCCAAAAAGGGCATCTCTGTTACAAAAGCATTTCCCACTTTTGTCTTCTCTCGCCATTTGCACACATCT